TTTCTATTTGAATTATTTCATTTGGTTGTCCATTGTGAATGTGTTTAACCTCTACCAAAATCTGTACCTTTAGCCCAAAAATTATTATTAATTCTATTTAATTGTTCTATTGTTATTGATTCAATTTGTTCAATATCATCTTGATAATATTGATCATAATTATCATCAATTATTGTTTGATTATTTATTGTTGTTGTTGATAGAAAAGATAATGATGTTGATATTAAATATATTTATTTACGATGTGGATGAGGTGTTATTGATGATAAACATGAAAGTAATAAAAGTAATATAGTTTAATGTAAAATTTCATCTAATAAATTATTTGATAAATGTTTAAGTAAAATTGATAATGTTTAAAATGGTTATTCTGATAATTGACGCATATCAAAATTATCTTGATGTTGTTCTTGTTGTGTTTCATCTTGATATTGATTTGTTATTGATTCTTTTTGTTCAAGCATTAAACGTATTATATAAGATGGAAGTGAACGATTTTTAAACATAGGACGTGCATAATTTGGTAAACGAAGAAATATTGAAAATGTTATAAAAAGATAATATGGTATTGTCATATTATTTGAAGAATTTGTTGATGATGATGTTGAAACTAATGATGAAAAATCAAAGAAATTTATTTTATCGAATATATTTCTATTTGATGATGATGATGATCTTGTTAAACATTGATCATATGATTCTATTGATGGATAATTACGAGCAAAATTTTCTGGAAGAATTTTAAGACTATTTCCATGAACAAATCTATAAAGTAATCTTGGATAATCTTTATTTGCAACAATTGATTTATGTGTAATTAATTCATTTTCCTAAATAGATTTAAATTTTTTGTTTTTTTTAAAGATCTTCGAAATATTCTTCATTTTTTAATTTAGATTTGAATTATTCATATATTGATCAAATTATAATAAAAAGGAAGAATATACTTATCTAGTGATTTTATACAGATTAACAAAATATGAGTAGGATCCTTTTTCTAAACATTCCTGATCTCCTCTTCTAGCTCAAAAATTTTATATCTGACACCTTTTCATTATAAAAATCGATCGAAAGTATTTTTTTCTAGAAAATTAGTTCGATACCCATTTAATAAGATACATTTCATTTCAAAAGCAATATTTTAATATAGCAAGAACCCGTGCATACTGCACGGCTATTTCCTCCTTTAACGCATGACCTTACGACGTTTAACTTTTCATCCGGTAACAGACATACAGACGCCCGATATCATCTATATAGATAGATAGTCCTACGGCCTGATACTTTTATATCGTACATATTTCTATAGTCCAGGTAGCCTTTGGCCTTATACCTTCTATCCCTTGTAGCCAAGGGGGAAACAGCTGGTTTTTTTGATTTAAATAAAAAAAAATCAACAAAAATCTTTAATCTGTGTTGTTCAAAACATCAATCAAGGGTGCAGCAGCTGAAATTAGATTTTATTGATTTCCATGATGTTTTTTATTTTTTGTTTGATTTTTCGATTTTTCTGATTTCTATTTTGATTTTTTTGTTTTCTTTTCTGATTTTTTTTGATTTAAAATCAATTGATTTAAGTCAAAAAAATCTGATTTCAGCTGTTTCCCCCTTGCTTGTAGCTCTTCTAGCCTTATCTCCTTATTGCTTTACCCCTTATTATCTATCTTCTTACTGCTTTATTCCCTTGAGGGCCTATGCGTACCCCATATAACAGTCGTTAAGGATCTATGGGTATCCCCATATAGTAGTCCTTAAGAACCTATGGATATCTCGACAGGATAGCCCTGGAGGACCTATGGGCGTCCCCATATAATAGTTGTTGAGGAGCTATGGGTATCCTAATAAAGTAGTTCTTTGGCCTTCCGCTTCTAGCCTTATTTGACCTTTAACCTTTGATCCATCATAGAAAGACACTGAAGATAATATATATAGATTGTCAATTGTACAATTCGCTAAAATGTCTCTGAAAGCTATTTTAATAACAAAAACATGAGATCACTTTTTTTTTTCATTTATGAAATTTGTTATTCTAAAATCAGTTATTGATATAAAACATTCGAAATTCTTTGACATAACTTATTTGTTTCATAATCATATATTTCTTAATTAATTAAACATTCCAAAAAAAAAAAAAAAAACAAATTTTTTTCTTCTCAACTTACTTAACCATCATTAATTAAAAAATGATTATAAAAAGTAAATTCTATAAGATCAATTTCATAAATATTTTATGATCGACAATCCAATGATAATAATAAATCAGTTAATCATGTAGTTTTTGGTAAAATACATTGTTTTTTTTGTCAATTAATATGTAAAATAAAATGTAGATTTTCTATAGGTAATATTGTTGAATTTTTCTTTGAAATTGATGATTAATTTGTTGTTAATTTTGATGATAAATTTTGATTTTTAGTTGAATATTGATAATGAACTTATTGATTGTTGTTGTTAATGTTGCCTTGTATTGTTGATCTTAATATAAACTGATTCAGTTGATGGTATTTTTCTTCTATGATTATTATTTATTGGTTGACTTGATGGTTTTATTAAATAATTTTTATTTTTAATATAATTTTGTGTTGTCCATATATTAGCTTGTAAATAATAAAAAGAAAATAATTTTTCAATTAATTGTCGAATATTGATTGATATTGAATAATCTTGAATTAATTTATGATAAAGTGAATTTTTTTTGAAAGATGAATATTGACGTATATTTATTTGATAATAAGGTGTATTTATTAAAGATTGTATATATTCATGTTAAAGTAGAACGTTAACGTTAATATATATTGTGAATATCGATTTAATGGACGATCGTTGTTAAAGAGGTTGTTCAGTTCAATAAGGTAAATATGATGATATTAATTAGATATTTATTTGATTTGTTGTAGATTGTATAGATAAGATTTGTTAAAAGTGTTATTAATCATTTTAATAAAATCGATGGTGATTGTATAAATGATGATATATTTGAATTATAAAATATATAAAGTAAATATTTCGATATATTTGATGGAATTATTGTTTTTGAAAAGCATATGTGTAGATTTGAATATTTATTTATTTTAATTAAATAATAAAGTTGATGATAAATAAATAAATAAATTGATGTTTTATTTGATATATATATTGAATTTGTTGATTTAATTCTTCATTGATTTAATAAAATAATCATTAATTAATATGTTCATTAAGAAATTCAAGAGTTAATGAAAATACTTATAATTGTTTAAAATAATAAAAAAAAATGTTTAATTTGTTCTTAATATAATTGATAACTAATAATGGTGTTATGATATTCTATTGATGGTAATAACGATGAATAATTTTTAAATAAATATTTTAATAAATAATCATCAAGTATTAATATTATTTTCTTGCTTTATTTTCCATAAAATATAATTAATTATTTGTTTAATTTGTTGATTAATTAATAAATTAATATAATAAATTAAATATTGAATATTATTTTCATTAAAATATAATTCTAATAAAATATTAAAATGATTATAATTAATTAAATATGTAATAAATAAATCAAATTGTTTATTTGTAGAATAATTATCAATAAAAATAAATATATAATTAAAAAGAAAATTATTTATATGAAAAAATATATTTTTAAGTATAAATAAAAATTTTTCAAATTGTTCAATAATAATTTGTTAATCATATGCATTAATAACCATATATTGATATTTGTTCTAAATCAATTCTATAATGATAAGATTGGTTTATAAAAATGTATAGGTAATTGTTTAACAATATAAATTTGTTTTGTTAATGATAAATTAATTATTTGTTGTCCTTGTATATTTAATAAATATGAACATGATATAAAATAATAACAATCATCAGATATTTAACATGTTATTGATGATCGATATTGTCTTAAATTTCTATTTAATTGATCAATGTATTCTATAATGATTAATTGATAATTGTGTAAATAGTATTATTTCTATTGATTTAAATATTATTGAATATGAAAATTATTATGTTAATGTAGAACGTTGTTGATTAGGTAAATATCTATATGACCATGGTGGTGAACGTAAATGACGTGATGATGATGATGATGTTATTGTTGTTGTTGTTTGAAGATTATTATTTGATTGTATTAATATATAAGGTGATCTTGAATTTGAATTTGAACATGTTATTTGACATAGTGATGATAAATTAATTGAACCAATATCTATTCTATTATTTAATGATTCTCTTTTATCATAAATAGGTTGTATTGATGGTATTTCTGTTTGATTTGATAAATAATTTGAATAAATTATTAAATAATTAACTAATAAATCAAGAAATTTATATTGATTTAATATTTCAATTAATATATTTGTATTATGTATTGAATAAATAATAAATAATAATAATGGTGATGATAATAATGGATGTTGTTGTTAAATAATGATATATTATTGTTAAAAGATAATTTGCTTGTGATATAAATGATGATAAACAATAATAAATAGTATCACCAAGAGATATTAAATAATTTAAATAAAAATCTATTGTTCTATGTATAAATGATGAATATTGATTTGTTTATGTTATTGATGCAGGAAGATATTTTGTTGATAAATTTAATGATATTGATAGTGATGAATAAAGTGATGAATGACATAATTAAAGTATTGAAAGAAGTTTTTCAATATAAATTTATTAAAGTATATCATCAAAATGCTCATCTTCAATATCATTTTTATTTATATTTATTTCTTCATTTTTAAAACGTTTACGTTGTTGATCAATTGTTTGATTTATATTTTCCATTAATTTTCTTATTAATAATATCATTTGTCGTAGACATCTATCATATAAATTACATTGACGATCTATTGATGATGATGATGATGATCATTTTGAATTTGCTCTTGTTTCATTATTATTTGTTGTTGTTGTTGATGTTGATTGATTATTTTGTAAAGAAATTTTATTAACTGTATTGATTAATTGCCATTTATTTATAGATGATCAAGGAATTAATAAACTTGTTGAAGAGTGTTGTGAATACGATTATAATTAATAAAAGATATTAATGGATCTATATCATTTTGTGTAAATGATAATGGCCAATATGAATAATAAAATGAGCAAACAAAATCAATTATATTACAACAAAGTTTTAAACGTATTAATGATGTTGCTTGAGAAAAATTTTGTTTAAAAAGATAAGTTAAAAATTTTAAATGACAATTTAAAGGAGCATGAAAACCATTAGTTATAAGACGATCCAGAATAGATTGAAGAGTATTAAGATAAAGACTATTGACATTAGTTTATGATGATGATGACAGAATATCTTGAGATTGATTTGATTCATTGAGGAAAACAATTTAAAAAAAAGTTATTTATTATTCAATTAGAAAACAGGACTATTCATCACGTCTCAAAAAACTACTGCGATAATAGAAAAGAAAAACTTGTGCATCGCCGCAATGAACACTCCTGATAGAATTGATAATTTTTTTGCTACTTTGTTAAATACATACGGAGCATGTGTGGGACCGGGATGGAATTGGAGTCAGAGTTAGACCAGTTTACCAAGACTATGATCGAGACCAGGCCAAGACAATAAGTATGACCTTCATAGTTCTTATCTCGGACCCGGTACCGACCATAGTCCGAGTAAAACTGATCTAAACCTAGTACCAATTCTGGTCCCAGTCATACTCTCTCCGTCGCACACATCTCTATGTACGCAAAACATTGAAGAGATTATTCAATGAAAATATTTTTAATTAATTTTAATCAAGTTTTTATTTTGATCAATTAAAGAAAAATGTCAATTGCTAAATCCTAGCTGATGTTGCTACTCTTTTAATTAATTTAATATATTCAATAATAAGACATAAATAATCTTTGAAAATAATGAATAACAATATCAATTGTAGATTGATCAATAATATATTGTGTTGTTTGAATAGTTTTTAAATAAATGTTTATCAACTAAACTATAATCAATATCAGCTTGAAACGATATTTGTTTAATTTGTTAAGCTAAATCAATATTTTTAGTTGTATAATATAATAAATAAAATAAATGATCCGATAAATGTATTGTTACTAATGAGGATTCTAATAAAAATTTAAATAATTAATCTAATGTATTAATTGAGATAATAAATAATCGTTTTAAATAAATATTAATTGGTGGTTGATTATTATAAATTGTTTCTGTTGCTTGTATATATATTTGTTTATGATAAATATATACTGAATAGTTTGTTAATAATATAATTAAATATGAATATAATAAATGTTAAATTATTAGAATATAAATCATATGATATAAAATGATTTTGTTCAATAAAATAACATAAAATATTTTGATAAGTTTCATTTAATAAATCAATTGTTCTATATGAATAATTTCGTTTTATTTCATATTGATTTAAATCATTTATTTTTATATTTAAATAATAATAAATTGTATATTGATTTAATTGAAATAAATTTTTATTTAATAATCTTTCTATTGTTATATGATTGATTTATTCTAAATAAATCAAATATAAATTTTATATT